TCACGATATTAGGTTTGCATATATTATATATTATGACATGCTGTCTTCAGTAGATTATTAAAATCCCTAAAATATTTCTTTCTTCGGGAAGACAGACTTGAGATCAATTTATAAAACAAAGAGGCCTTAAAAAATCGAGGAATTCTTCATGGAGCTTCTTCGACCATTAAAATAAGGAAGGACTATGAATATGAGTGTTACTTAGATTTCTATTGTAGACATAAGTAACGTACAAGCTTTCACGTATGACGTACAACTTATTGCCGCGTCTCTAAGAGATGGCAATAAATCGTACATCATACGCTAAAGCTTGTGCGTTACTTACGTCTACAACTTAAGTCTCTAAGTAAGTGTTACAACAATTCTTATGTTCAGACCCTTACACTGTTGAAGTAGTAAGTCCATAAGTTCGTCCATAAGTTCATACCACAAACTTATGGACTTAGGGACTTCGCACAATAAAAGAAACAGGGAACAGAGAACAGAGAATAAGAATTTCAACCTATCAGAAATCATGTATTATGGAATACACAGTTTCTGATAAGTTGAAATTCTTATTCTCTATTCCCTGTTCCTTTTATTGTGCAGAGCCCCTTACTATTTCAACAGTGTTACTAACCCGTACAAATTAAAATCGTGTTGTCTAGGGATTTTTATTACTACCAACATTTTCCAGTCTAGTTTTTCGGGAAAATGTCATGTAAAGCTGACTTTTCATACGTAGCAATTCGTAACTATTGATTAAAAATTTTACATGAGATGACACACTTCCAATGCAAAACATATTTTGCCGCGTCTTATTGAAGTTAAATCGAACGAACAACGAGCAGCAAAGAATTCGAAGCCGAGAAAATCTGCAATATTTACAAAAAAATTGAGTACATTTATAACATGTACAATGAGTACATTTTTATTCAAATTTGAAGTAATAAGGATATTCTAAATTCTAAATAATTACCTGAAATGATAGTTGTCTAAATCGTAACTGCACTAATAGTTGCCATATAATCACAAGTTTTTAGCTTTTTAAGTTTTTCACATTAATTTTCGAACTGAGCAAATCAAAGATACATATTTAAGGTTAAACTTTAATACATATGCTGTTGCCGTTATTCCTTTTCATGCTCAGTAAATGCAGCGGAAGCAATTATGAAAAATTGGCATCACGTAACATTTTTACTGCCGCAGCGTGCTGCACATGAAAAGACACCTTAACCTCCGGTCGTAGTGGCATCACCGTATAACTACAATACTTACAGTTATGACAGTACGAGCAAACAAAGGGTTCAGTTTTGTTCTGCGCACGCATTGGTTGTAAAACCAACAATATGGCGGACTGTCATAGCATTAAAACTGTGGCGGCGACGATTGAGACACAATAAATTACGATTGAGAGCTGAATGAATATTGTGTACAATTACACATATTAAAATCGATAAAATAGGTGGAATCTCTTATACGTTTGCTACATGCAAGCGGCAACTATTAATTTCTCACTCTTTTTAAACGATTACGTGATTAAAGCGTTAATTCTGAAATTTGACCTGAAAGGATTTGAGGAGTAAGCCCGGATCTTCATACGAGCAACAGCGCTTTCATACCAAACGCTGATTGATGAAAGACGGGTAATGGAAATAAATTTTATCCCCATAACAAAACATCTTACAACTCTTCTCTACTGGAAAAACTATATATATGCTTATTGGACTATGTTCGGAAATTTATCCAGATGCACCCATGTATTATTTATCCTTGTTTAATATTTGATAAACAACAAAGATAAAATGATAAAATGATAGATGCACTCGAGTGAAGGCAATCTGGATGTTGCGCGTCGCGTATCGCGTGTCGCATCGCGCTGATGTGCAGGAGCCATAAGGGTGCGATTACATGGAGCGTGGTACAGTATCTAATAATAACTAATTAGGCAACTAGAGAACCGTGTAACACGTGTGGCGACCGCTACCAGAGGTCCAATGACGGAACGCGCTCGGTTTCGCGTAAGCACCTCAGTCACGCAAAGATCCTTTAAATAGGATAACGACTGAGATTGATTCCAGGTCGTCTAAGGCAGGTCCCCACTACATCGCCTTACTGATGAGTCTAGTAGTGTGGGACTGAGACGAAACGCCACGGCCGATCAACTAACTTCGAGTCTGGTCTCCATAGTGAGTTTCCTTCTTTACCGACATTTCCTTAATTATGTAGCAATCCGCTACACACGTATTGCCTATTTCTTTCACTGATATATTACATGGAGTGCGATTTATGACACGGCAAACTTATTAGTACGAATATTTTTAAATGTATTAACTTATTTTTATGCATACTTTATCGTGCGGATCTTTTGTAAGCCTCAGCGATAGATTTTAAGTTATGCTTGATAAGATTAATCATCACTTTATGTTTATTGCGAGATCGGCATCGAATACTGCTCATGTCGTTAGTTAATTACTTGTAAATATTGTAAATAAATTTTTTCGTTCAGAAAACTATTTATCATATGAAACAGACAGATATACAAAAAAGAAAGTTATAGTAAAAACTTCTAGTCTTAGTACAATATGCTTCACAGAAGCAGATTTTTGTAAGAAAAAAAAATAGACTGGATTTTTAAAATATATTTATTACAATAGGCAGGAACATGCAAATTAGATGAAGAAATATAGACACTCACAAAATAGACTAACAATGAAAATTATGTTATAGGATTTAAAAAAGAATTTATTATCAGCTAATGCTATTGATGATCTCAAGGTAAATGTTTATAATGCTTATAAGTACATAAATTTTTTATGCTATTAAAATATTAATTAATTGCTAAGAAAATAAATATTTATCATTCCTGGACTATATAAATCTTTAATAAGTATATACATATTATACAATATATGTATATACCTGTTATATTTTGTGAAATAGAAATATATATTGGGTGAGTAAATATGACTCCGCCCTTTTTTGTGAAAATAAAATACATTTGCTTGTTTAGAAAATGAAATAATTATTTATTCAAAGTATGCTCCATCTGCAGCTACAACATTCGCCCATCTTTCAGGCAATTTACGGATTCCTTGCATGAAGAAGTCCTGGTCTTTTGAGGCAATCCAATTATCAAATTTGAGTCAAATTCTTTCGTAAGAAGTAAATCGCTCTCCTGTAAGATCTGACTGCATCGTCCGAATAAGTAGTAACTTGAAGGAGCTATGTCTGGCGAATATGACGGGTGGGGTAGCACTTCCCAGTCCTGTCCATTTAAATATGTTTTCACGACTTTTGCAGTATGCGGTCTGGCGTTGTCATGTTGAAAAATTAATTTGCTACGTCTATTCACCCATTCTGGTCGTTTTTCTTCTATAGCTACCTTCAAACGCATTAGTTGTCGTCGATAAACATCGTCAGTGATAGTATCAGACGGTTTCAGCAACTCATAGTGCACAACACCTTTCTGATTCCACCAAATACAGAGCATAACCTTGGTACAATGAATATTTTCCTTTGGCTGTAATGGGCCGGCTTTACCTGACTTCACCCAGACTTTTTTGCGTTTTGGATTCTCATAATATATCCATTTTTCATCTCCAGTAATTATTCGATGCAAAAAACCTTTTCTTTCTTGTCTTTGAAGCAGCATTTCACAAATGGTTTTTCGACGTTCGATGTTTCTGTCTTTTAATTCATGTGGAACCCAGTTACTAGCTTTTTGAACCATTCCTATCGCTCGCAAACGTTTTGCAACAGTTGATCGATCGCATTTAATGTTGCTGCCAATTCTGATTGTGTTTGACAACAATCTTCAGCCAATGATTCTTCCAATTCAGCGTCTTCAAATTTGTTGGGTGGTTTTCCATGTTCTTTGTCCTCAATGTCAAAATCATCGTTTTTAAACCGTCGAAACCATTCTTTGCAAGTTATATTTGATGGAGCATGCTCACCGTAAATATCCACAAGTAAATGATAAGTTTCCTCTGAACTAAAATAGTGCAATAAAACTTCCCGCAAATGATGTTTATTTGGAATAAAACCCGACATTTTTAATGCGATAAAAATACTTGTTGTTTACGCTTCAACCGTATGTCACATACTACGTTTGACAGCTGACACAAAGTACTATCGAATACAAGTATTAACATTTTAATGTACGCGTAAGCAGTGACACTAGCGAACCTATTGGAAAGGGCGGAGTCATATTCACACACCCAATACATACAATATAAAATATAAATATATAATATATTAAATCTAAATATATACAAACTTTACCATAGGTTTCAACTCTGCATAAAGCTGTGTAATTAAGAAAATTGTATAATTGATATAGTTTTATAATAATATCTAATGTGTGTGTTAACGTTAAAGTTTACTATGATAAGACTAAATTTCATAAAGTTTATATTACTATATAAAATAATTCTTAGATATGCGTTTTATTGAACGCAATTCATATATGTTTAGTTATTAAGAAAATCTATGTATGTATTTTGTATGTACACATGTTGCTTTGAAGAAATTTGGACATTATACATATAATTAGAAAAGGAGTATTGCAACTCTCAATAGTTTCCAAAAAAAGAAATGTAAAGGGTGTCCCAAAATTAACGCAAGATTTGAATTAAATAGAAAACACAGTTTTTAGTCTTTTGATTGTTATTTTTTTATTGAATCATAAAGTACATAGGATAGGGTTATTTGTGGAATAACACATCGGGCAAATGGCCTCCACGGCTTTGCATGCACATACGCACTCGTTTGTCGAAATTTTCCATGACCATTTTGCATAAATGTGGCTGAATTTCGTTGATGCAGCGTTGAATCTCCTCCTTTAATGCACGGGTGGTTGTGGGCTTGTTGACATAGACCTGTGATTTCAAATAACCCCATAAAAAGAAATCTAATGGTGTTAAATCACACGATCTAGGGGGCCAATTCTGATCACCTAAACGAGAGAGTACACGACCTGGAAACGTCTCATGCAGTAACTGAATTGTTTCACGAGCTGTATGGCATGTGGCACCGTCTTGTTGAAACCACATATTGGCCACATCAATATCATCCAATTTCGGCAGAAAGAACTGTGTTATCATGTAGCGATATCGAGCACCAGTAACAGTCACTGCTTGACCAGCCTCATTTTCAAAAAAGTATGGTCCAATGATGCCTCCAGCCCAAAATCCACACTAAACAGTGACACGTTGTGGATGCATTTGTTTTTCGACAATCACATGTGGGTTCTCCGTACCCCAAAAGCGGCAATTTTGGCGATTAACAAAGCCATCAAGGTGAAAATGTGCTTCATCGCTTAGGATGATTTTGCTCGAAAAATCAGCATCCATTTGTTGAATAATGAACACACGTTGTTCTATCGTGTAACGCTCCATTTTCACTAACCCTAAACTGTCAGCTGTTAAATTGTTTTTTTTTTTGGGCTGCCAACACTTTACTGCACAAATGGCGGCAAATTCAAATTTTGCGTTAATTTTGGGACCTTTATACAAAGTGATATATGTATATATAAAATATATGTACAATAATTTATATTCATAGAAAACCTGTAATTGTTAGAAGTTCTCTTTGCTAAAATAAGATTATTTCTCTAGATCTAAATGTCTAACGCAATAAGCGCAAAGAAAACTACAATTACAAAATATACATTTATTAATTACATACTAACGTCCGTGAAAAAACGTAGAAAGACTTACGGATTTTTAAATACTTTTTTAAATAGTTTTTGTAATATTTTTTTTGAAATTTTTTTTTTAGAACTTAATGTCCTCTCCTAACAGCGACAGTAAAAATAATTTTACGTAAGAAGAGAAAAAAATAATTTCCACGAAGTCTGAGAACTTTTACATCATCGCTTCATTTTCATTCTCCAGCAGCCCTATGTCCAAAAATATATTACTATGTCCAAAAAACATTTTTAAAATGTCTTTTTCATCCATCAACTCTGAGAAAGTGGTTGCGAAGTGTTAATTGTAATCCAGAAATAGCTGATAAAAATAATACAAAATGTACTCCATAAAATATAAATTGCTCAAGAAAACAATAAGAAGCTAATATTTAATTTAATTTTAAATGAAACGAGCATTAAAAGACATATTGATTGGAATGGAAAAGAATTGCATGGATTTATTGATACATTAATAATAACATATCGCATATATCTGAAGCTCTTGTTTTCGTGCTAGTTTGCATAGTCATTTTTTTAAAGTTTCGATTGCATATTATCTTATTAAGTCATTAAATGGTTGTGAAAAAGCTGATTTAATAAGTAATATTTTATGTGTACTTCATAAATATACCATTGATGTAGTAAGTATAATATTTAACGGAGCCTCTTCAAACATTGCTATGTGTAAGATATTAGGTGCACAATTGAAACAGAAACACGTAGAAGAGCTTGTTCCATACTTTACGTATCCCGCTAATAAATCTAAACTATATTCTATGACGCATGTCATATGATAAAACTTATTAGGAATGCTTTTAAGAAAGGAGATATCATAAATAAAAATGGTAACACAATAAACTGGAAATTTATTGCGGAATTGGTCAATTTACAAGAATTTGAAGAATTGCATGCTGCTAATAAAATTACACAAAGCATGTAAACTTTTCAAATCAAAGAATGAAAGTAAATTTAGCAGTACAAGTGTTAAGTAATTCAGTAAGTGATGCATTGACATTTGCAGAATACGATTTATAGTTACTAGAATTTTCTCAGGCTTCAGCAACTGTAAAATTTTACAAATTTTTTAATGATATATTTGATTTAATGAATTCATGCAATTTATATGATAAGACAGAAACAAAACGTGTTATAACAAAAGATAATCTACTTACTATAAAGAATAAAGTAAAAACATTTATTTCATACATTAATTCTTTAACGATAGCAAATATTTGTGTACTTGAAAGCAGTCATAAAATTGCATTTATTGGGTTCATAATTAATTTACAAAATGTTATTGCATTGGGAGAAGAGTCGTTTAACATCGATAAAGTAGATTTTTTTATAAATTGTCGCAAGATCATCTCGAAACTCTTTTTTCCCTGAAAGAAGAATGAACGATTGGAATAACATTCTTACTGCCAAATAATTTAAAGTATCATATAGAAAAGTTTTACAGTTTATAAATGTGTCTGTTTCTTCGAGTGCGAATTGTATTCTGCAGGATAACACTGAACTGCTTCAATTAACAAATTGATAAGACTTCTTGTTAGCAGAGCATGGTTGGATGGGTTGAGCCAGTAATTAAGTAGAAACTTATAAATGAACGTAATTTATTGAAAAGTAAATTTTATAATCCGCGAGCGTGCTGTCCTCTCATTTCGGAATTCAAGCAGAGACTGCGAGAGAGAGATCACTTAAACGGATATCGGTTAATTACGATGAGAGTCGAAGTTTTCCGAGCCGCGCTTGAGTCGAGTACAGTACAGTCACGCATAAAAGTATTGGTCTGTACACTCGAGTACAGAAACGCGCTGAACTCAAATACTTGTATTCTCAATACAAATGAATCTATGAACAATGAGAAAAATTATATTCTAGAAGACACACACAATACTGAACTCCTTCAATTATCGTATAAATTATTATTATTAAATTCTCACGGCTCTACAAGCAATGAGAAAGAAGTAAATAACTTACACAAAACAGCAAATATTGACTCATTAGAACAAAAAACTCATTAGAACACAAGTTTCTAAATACTATTTTCATAAATCATAATTGTATAATGAAAAATAATAATTAATGTCTAACTGAGTATGCCAGTAAAATAATTATAATATATATCTAATTATATTGTTAAAAACGTTATAAAAACATTGATTGTTCTATTTGCAAAAAATGATTAATTTCAAATGCAACACAAAAAGACACAAATCAAATTAACAATCTCTTGCAAAGAATCGAGATGATTTATGTAAAGCATCAAATAATATTAACAATATGTAGAATGGCAGAAAAAACATTCATGCAGATATAATTATAATACAATATTTAAAACTAAAAACATTTTACAGCACTTAATATTTCAAACTTTACAATCTCTTCCTTTTTATGTACTTCAAGTTAACAATCATACTTTTAATAAAATCTCGTCATCTAGTCATTGAGATCAAATAATAAATTTAATTTTAACATTTTTTAATTTACGTCTTATGTATGAAAATAAAAAATTTAAAAATTGCACTCAAAGAATTAGAATGAATAATAATAAGCTAACGTTATTTCAAAATCATTAAAAATATATATGTTGAAGATAAAATATATTTTTAGAAATGAGTGTGTTACTTTGTTTGTGACAAAACAATATTTTATTTTTTCAAGTACTTGAATACAATGTAATATTTTAAAAATAAACTGTTTTTGTTTTTTTCCTATTTGTTTTTCCGTTAAACAAATATAAATAAAAGAAACATATATTTGTAAGTAATATACTTCATATGTTATTTACAAATGTATGTTTCTTTTATCAGTTTTACAAAGAAACGTTACATATTATATATATTTTATGTATCGGCAGGTATATACAGGGTGCGGCGCCAAAATCCGGATAAATTTCAAATTGAAATTCCCTCCGTTCAATACCATTGGTAGATGTCGCGATTGGCAGTCAAATAGCTTGACGCATGTACTAAACCATCATAACCTCGAAACAGTCGCAATGTTGTCCAAGTGCGGAGTACAATTGAAGAGCCGCGATTATCGAAAGTATTCGCGCCTGGCGCTCGGCGACAGAAATCATTCGGTTTTTCGGGTATCCGAGATCGACTGTGTATGATGTCTTCGCAAAGTATCATGAGTCGGAGAAGTCCAACGAAGGTTCTGCAACACCGGCGAGGAAATTCCACTCGAAGGAGGGCGTTTTTTTTAACAAAGGGGAAAATGTCACAAAAGAAGTTTATTTGCGTGTTCTGACAAATGTAGTGAAGCCGTGGATGGAAACTGTGTCGGCTGGAAAGCCATATGTTTTCCAGCAGGACGGTGCGCCCGCCCACACAAGTCATTTGGTGCAAAATTGGTTGTCGGACAACGTCGACATGTTTTGGTGGAAAGAATTCTGGCCTCCCAACAGCCCAGATTTGAATCCTTTGGACTTCTACGTATGGGGCGTGGTTGAAAGGGTCACGAACAAGTCCAGACATCCAAACGTCGCATCATTGAGAGCCGCTATTGAAGCGGCATTCACCGATATGGACCGTGACGCATTAAAGCGTACCTGCGCACGCTTCAGACCGAGAATGGAGGCGGTCATTCAAGCAAGCGGGGGATATATTGAGTGAATATGTTCTTTATGGCCTTACAAACAATGGAGCTAAACAAATTTTGTAAATCTTTTCATTGTAGCAATAAAACATGTTTAGAAAAATATATATAATTTGTCCGGATTTTGGCGCCGCACCCTGTATACACATATGTATGTGTTAAAAAAATAAAATTTTTGTTTTTATTTTTAATATATTTATATTAACCTCAAATCCTTCTATTATGTATTTTTATTAAAAATTCTTACAATCGCATTTGAAGGTAAAATATATTTTGTTGCAAGGCGACACATATTTTGAAGCTAACCCGCATTTTATTTTGCATTTACTTTATAAGTTCATAATTATAATCTTTTTTTTATCTGCCTGAGCAGACATACGATCGCGCACGATGCACCTCCCACTTTCTTCTATTAGAAAGAGAACGAAAAATCTAATTGTGTTCCCTCCTTCTTGCACGTGACTGCCATGTCTCTCGCCACATGCTCGGTTTATCTATACTATGTGTATATATTATGACTTGTGAATCAGAAACAATGAGTAATTTCTTTGTGAACTTAATGATGATCGCCAATCTTCCTTTGCCATTAGCACAGTATATACAGTAGCAACTCTCTGTCGGCACCTTTGATGTTAGTGTTGGCCAAAATGGAGTGCATATGCGTGAAATAAGTAAGTTATCTAGCGTTGCCATGATTACCACCTAAACTTCTTTCTCTTTTCATCATTTTTTCACTCTGTCAAAATTCCTCACAAAATTCACTAGATTTATTCGCATCGCAATCCAACAAATTCGTTGAAGTGAGTAAGTGCTATTGTAGGAACACATTGGAGCATATAAGAGCATGCGACGCGAATAAACCTAATATTGCGATGAAATAATTTAAACTTTATGAAAATTAATAAAAATAAATTGTAAAATTATATGTAATATTGAAAAATAAAGAAAAAATATAGAAAAATTAGGAAAAATATTAAATTAACTTAAAAATGTATATTTGTATAAAGGAATATTATGTAATTATATATCTATGAAAATGTAATTATGAGAAAGCTGAGAGATATAAAAAAAATTCATATATGTCCGAAAAATAAGTTTAAAATACAATAAATAAAAAGAAATCCTTTTTGCTCGATATTCTATGTTATTTTTTGTTCACTTTTTCACTCTCTCTCTCTCTCTCTCTCTCTCTCTCCCCCCTCTCTCTTTATCACTTTTTTACAAAAATTATACCAACCTCTCGAGATTTCTCACACAACATTTCACCAAATGGATACGTAATACTTTCCTCTAAATTTCCACTCTAAATCATGTATGCTCGAAAAACAAATGTTTAAGTGGAATATTGAAACGCTTATTTAAGTAGAGAGAAAAAGAAAGAGAACAATAAAATAGGGAGAAAAAGAGACGGAGCAACTAATTAAGTAAATACAATTTTTCGTTGTTTTATTGTTTCCTCTATCCTTATCCTATATCCTAGGCAGCACAAATTTGGATACATGTCCAAAACTGGGGCATAAAACGTCTTAAAGACGTTTTACGTCTCACTTTTAAACATTGTACTATCTAAAATTGTCAATAAATTGTTGACTTACAAATATCATGTTTCACATACTGTTTTATGATTTCATTTGGTTCATTCTAGAAATATATTAAAATTAGAAACAAAAAGTAGACCTATATTAATATATACAATGATGTATCTAAAATCATATATAGAATTTATCAATACTTTTTAATTTTAAAAATACTTTATATGTGAAATACTACAACATCTCTTGTTCAAATTCAGCGGTTCGTAAAACCTTCCAACATGGCTGATAGTTACGTGATCGATAACCACCGACATCAGAAAAGCTACTGTCGCTACTGTATGTAGTTATACTAAGGCAATAAATGAGTATTCGCATCAGCAATTTTTAATCCTTTTCTCGCTCTTTTACTTCTTTCTTTAATCCCTTACTTTCTCTCCACTCCACTGCTAGGCTAAAAAGATTAAAGAGAGAAAAGAAAAGATTGAAGAGAACAAAGAGGGAAAAGGACTAAAAATGGCGGATGCGAATATCTATATATTATTATAGTGTTCTAATTATACTGTGACGATAGCAGCTATTCATGCAGAGGTCCGTTCGGTAAATTAAATCATGTGGCTGGCAGATGAGACAGTGGATGCGCTAGTCACTGCGTAACCCCGGATCTACAATAGATTTTTAAGCCTTATTAAGCTATAAGGAATGGACGAATCACAATCAATTATAATAGTTTTTATGGCTTAAGGCTTATGGCTCCGGTACATCAGCGTGATGTTCGTCGCGCACGATACGCGATATTCAATGAGAGTATACCTTTAGAATGAAAAAATCAGTAAAGCTGTACACTCATTGGATATTGCGTGTCACACGCGACGAACATCGCGTTGGTGTGCTGGAGGCATTAGAACTCTATTATGTAGATCCGGGGTAAACATATGCACCCTAGGCTACATTCCACAACTTCTTTTTTGAGGATAATTTTACTTATATGTAATAGTTACATGTACTATATATTTCGAGTAAAATTTTCCTTGGAGAGGAAGTTTTAGAATGTAGTTCTAAGTGTTTTAAGTTTTAAGCCGTAAAAAATTGACCAATTACAGTTGAATGCGAGAAGAATAATTGACTATGATTCGTCCATTTCTTATTAAGTCTGGATCTACAATAGATGATTTAAGTCTTAAGCCATAAGAAATTGACCAATTAAGGAGCCTTTTCATGCCGATGCTTGAAGCTCATTTTCAGTGTCAAAATAAATCAAAAAAAGGTATTTTCACGAGCTGCTCAAACTGCCCGTTTTTAGCGACAAAGAAGTCACGTGATGACTTTTGTCGCAAACCTATTAGAGCGACAATTTTATACATGAAAAAGGCAAGAAGAGTTAAATTTGATATTTGAGCGACAGATTCGAAATGTTGTTTGTATTTTTCATGTACCATTTGCAACATTAATACGCTGAATTAAACAGTTATTAGGTTATTCTGATTGCAACGAATCTTTTATCTAGATCAGCAATAAAAAAAAATAAATTAGGTTATGTATCGCAGTTAACTATGGTCTACACGATCGATACAGTAGCCCGTATTCAGAATGCGCTTACAACAATGTTAGCACATTAACATGCTATAATTTACGTCACACATACTATAGAATTTCAAAAATAACTGCGTTCTGAATACGGACAAGTATGTTAGCACTGTTAATAGCATTTGAGCGTTTGACGCTTGTTGAAACTGTTCAAAGTACAAAATTTCAGCCGCTGAATAACGAGTGACAAATCTGTCGCTCCAATTACTTATTTTAGCAGCACGTGAAAATGTCTATAGAAATTGACGAATATTAAGCGTCAATTTTAATCACGTGACCTATTTTAATGCTGAAAATAAGCATTGAGCGTTAGCATGAAAAGGCCTTTACAGTCAAATGCGAGAAGAATAATCAACTGTGATTCGTCCATTTCTTATAGCTTAAGGCTTAAAAACCTAATGATCAGGTTTACGTCTTGTAGTGTAGACAAGCCTTAATATATAAGGAAATTAATCAATCGAAATTTTTCTTTTTCAGAAAATGAGAAGAAAGGAAAGATTCTGATTAGTTGATTTGCTTGTGCACGATGCGTTATGTGTCATGCAAAGTCGGTCTTAATTTTTCTTTTTTCTTATAATTTAATTACTATAGAAGAAATTTCGCAGTTTTTTAATAAAACTGGAGATTTTCAAGTTTTTTTTTGGAAATATTTGGAAATTTCTAGAGACTTTTCAACCCTGATTTAGAGATTTTTTTTCTATCAGTGAGTTGGCAACTGCGTTGGTGGCCATTGGCAGCTATGTAGAATGTATTGTTTACATCGTACTTCTAATTTTTTACGTAAATAATCAAGAGATAAAACTTACGTTAAGTCGATCGATATTGACAAGTGATTGGCACATAATAAAAAACGGTATGTATTTCCTTTTTCTAAAAATTATAAACTATTAATTACGATGAATTGTTTTTGTGAAAGGTTACGATCTAACCTATACATTTCACAATAGTCATTTGTTGTAGATTGGGCTCGGTAAACTGTTATAACTTATTTAAAATAAAGTGTAAAATAGGTTCTAGAAACTTATTTAAAATATACACTTACAGAAATACGAGAAAAACTATAAGAAAAATATGACTTATTTAAAATATAAAAGATAAGAAATAAGTTCCAAAAACGTTACTTAGGTAATTATTTAAAATATCCCCTCCCCCCTTCCTAAAATCTTAATAAAAATATACTCATTCGACGGATTTTCACTTGAAAATGAAAGGATCTCGCAGAAAAACGTGACATGAATCGAGTTATCAAGCGTTAAAGTTCGAGACTTTAGAGGTTAAGATATCTGTCATCCTAACTGGATACAGCACTATGTATACATTCTGCTTTAATTACGCAAATATTCTGCAAACATAAATTTACTATTTTGAAAACATTTATTTTTTTAAAAACAATTCGCTGCTTTAAGCACACAAATTCTTTGCATCAGCAGTGAATTTGTGTCAAATTAGAACGTATACATAGCGCTGTATCGAGTTGGGATGACATATTTTAACTTCTAACAACCAACTTGTAAGAATCCAACGATTAAGATCATGAATTGAGTTATTAAGCGTTAAGCTGATTCTACAATGAGTAGGTAGTCTTAAGTCGAAAATCTTAAGTCTTAACTAGTTTTAATACTTAGGTGACTATGATTTTTCCAAGGTTGGCAGACGTTACTTTTCCGTTTTTTTTACCGTTACTTTTTATAATAAACAATTTGACATTGTAATTTTTAATGACGGTAACACTAACTAACTAAATACTAAGGTTGGAAAAGCTACTTTGAAAAATAACTTGTCACCAATATGTGTTTCTTACTAAAATAAGTAATAAATGTGAAGTAATAATGTGTTACTCGTTACAAGTAACGAATAAAAAGTAATGCGTTACAAATTAGGGAGTTATTTTCAGTAAAGAATGACTTTTTCAACCCGAATATAACAATGATGATTTGATAATGATCAAAAAGTAACGATCGTTACAACATTACAAGTAACGCGTTACTTGCCAACCCTGGATTTTTTACATCTATTAATTGTTAGTTGTATAACGAGTCGTTTAACTCGGCTAATGGGAAGGGTTAGAAAATCGGTAGTCTTAATCATATAAGTTGGCTGTGACAACTTCACCGATTCATTGATAAGACAGGACTATCGACTACTCATTGTAGAATCAACTTAACCCTTAATAACACGATTCACGAGATTGATCGCCGTGTTTTTTTTGTGAGATTCTTTCGTTTCGAGTGAAACTCAAATGAGTATATTTTTATTAAGATTTTAAGAGGAGGTGAGATATTTTAAACAACTCTCCTTATTTATAATATAAAGTAAAAAATATGTATTAAATAAATATTCTATAATCATCAATCAGAAATATCCGGGCAATTGAGAGCAATGATAGCGCAGAAGTCGGTGCTTTTGATCTTCATCATAATATATTTCAATCCTTATATACAAAATCGATCAAAATATTCTGAAATAGTAACAATAAACGTTTATTATATTGCATAGCAATCAAAATAAATTTCTACAAAAGAACAACCGAATAAAGGGGCAAAATCAAGGTAGAAAAATAATAGTGTATTTTGCAATTTACATAGTCGATTTATGTTTTGATGTCACAGAAACTTTTTAAAAATCTACTTTGAAACAAATCCAACTATATGTTAGTACAGAAAACAAATTGTCATATACATTCAAAAATGCCTCTAAATAATATAATAGGAAGCCAATTTAGTTCAGAACCTTCCATACTTTTCAATAAATGTGATAATTTTGATCAATACTTCATTTCTTCTCAGGGGGTGAGAAAGATATATGTCACATAAACTACAATTTATTTTCTGTAGTATAAGTTAGATTTGTTTCTAGGTAGATTTTGAAAAAAATAGAAGTCAAAACATGAATCAATTATGTAAATTTCGAAATATAAGTAGGTAATATTACTCTGTGTTTTCTACAACCTTGATTTGATTTTGCTTGTTAATTCGGTTTTTTTTTTAATTCTAAAATAGTTTTTATAATTTTTATTTATTAGAATATATACATTTCAGTTTTTACGTACAGCTATAGCTATTATAGTGTTAAATAGTAAAATTATTGTAATGTATTAGCATATGTACATATAAACTTCTTTAATACTTTAATAGCAAAGCTCAGTAAAATAATTGATACGACTTATTTAAAATAAAAAGTATAAATGAAATTCCAAAAATTTATTATTAATAAGAAATAAATTAGAAGAATATAGTTGAGAGTGCCTTAAGAATCGGTCAAAGTTGGAAGTTTCGAATAATATAATATTCTAAGTTCATGAATTTAATTAATCTCAAATGTGATTGTGCGCCGAAATGTTCGGACATTATGATACAATCAATTTGAGATGCTAATAATCGCGAGCCGAAACGTTCGGACAATCGCGAGTATATATAATCCCCCTTTATTTCGAATAAGAAACTTTTATTGCGAAAAATTGTATCTTAATATCCAAACGTTTCGGCGCACAGTCACATTTGAGATTAATTCATGAACTTAGAATATTATATTATTCGAAACTTCCAACTTTGACCGATCCTTAAGACGGTCTCTACTATATTATGTTGTTACATTAACTCAGTCGGTTTCTATTTCGTAAATTAGAAGAAGTTATTTAAAATAATAAATAAAAAATAATTTATTTTTTTTTTAATTTAAAAAATATATATTTTAAATAAATTTATCTTTAATACAATCAAACGCTGGTTATAGAGATATCTATCTAGGTGTTAGATCTGTTCTTTATGGGTAAACTAGTGTATATTTATTGCATTTTAAAAAACTAATTATTTGAAGTGCAGTTTGGCGAAGCGAGATAAATGGTTTTAGTGTCATCATAGTTCGGTATTCATAGTCAGTTCTTATATTTAAGATCTTAAATACAATTTTAATCAATTATACAAAAACAGGGCTATTTGAGCCAAGCTGGATGTTATGTACTATTAAAAAATTATGATCAAGATATTATAATACAATATAATCGTTTTTTTTTCACATTTTAATGTGATCATTTTCAGTGATACAAATTATTACAAGTTGAAATATCCCGCATACATCGTCAACCATTCTCGGTTCAGCAGGTTCTTCATCAAAGTGGATTTAGTTTCATCAATAAGTATGATGAAAATGCCACCTGCTGTTTGAATTAATCTTTTTTTTCTAAGATATCTTATATAAGAAAACACTTATATATCAAATTTTAGATTTCTATATGGAGACGTGATCAAGTTATAGCAAAAAAACGATTTTTTTTTACAATTTTCCGATTTTAACATACAAAATAAAAAATTAAATAAAATTCTGAAAAATTAATTATATTTAGATATGAATAAGGATATTTAAAAAAATTAAAATTTTTTTTGGTTTTATTCTAAAAAAAATAAAAGTAACTATTACATATTTTTCTCACCCTAATTACGTTCAACTACTACCTCAAAAAAAATTACACATAAATCTTTGTTCAATTTCCTACAAAGTATTTTTTTCAAATTATTTTCAAAAGATTACATTGAAAAAACCCCGCACATTTCTTAAGGAAAAATGTCCCCGGTCAAATTGCTTCGTTTTGAGATATGTTGTACTTCTTGTGATTTTGAACAAATGTCTCCATTGCCACATTCACATATTGGGTGTGAATATGACTCCGCCCTTTTTTGTGAAAATAAAACACATTTGCTTGTTTAGAAAATGAAATAATTATTTATTCAAAGTATGCTCCATCTGCAGCTACAACATTCGCCCATCTTTCAGGCAATTTACGGATTCCTTGCATGAAGAAGTCCTGGTCTTTTGAGGCAATCCAATTATCAAGCCAAATTTTGATGCTTTCGTAAGAAGTAAATCGCTCTCCTGTAAGATCTGACTGCATCGTCCGGAATAAGTAGTAATCTGAAAGAGCTATGTCTGGCGAATATAGCGGGGTAGCACTTCCCAGTCCTGTCCATTTAAATATGTTTTCACGACTTTTGCAGTATGCGGTCTGGCGTTGTCATGTTGAAAAATTAATTTGCTATGTCTATTCACCCATTCTGATCGTTTTTCTTCTATAGCTACCTTCAAACGCATTAGTTGTCGTCGGTAAACATCGTCAGTGATAGTATCAGACGGTTTCAGCAACTCATAGTGCACAACACCTTTCTGATCCCACCAAATACAGAGCATAACCTTGGTACAATGAATATTTTTCTTTGGCTGTAATGGGCCGGCTTCACCTGACTTCACTCAGGCTTTTTTGCATTTTGGATTCTTATAATATATCCATTTTTCATCTCCAGTAATTATTCGATGCAAAAAACCTTTTCTTTCTTGTCTTTGAAGCAGCATTTCACAAATGGTTTTTCGACGTTCGATGTCTCTGTCTTTTAATTCATGTGAAACCCAGTTACTTAACCCAGTTAGTTTTTTGAACCATTCCTATCGCTCGCAAACGTTTTGCAACAGTTGATCGATCGCATTTAATGTTGCTGCCAATTCTGATTGTGTTTGACAACAATCTTCAGCCAATGATTCTTCCAATTCAGCGTCTTCAAATTTTTTGGGTGGTTTTCTATTTTCTTTGTCCTCAATGTCAAAATCATCGTTTTTAAACCGTCGAAACCATTCTTTGCAAGTTATATTTGATGGAGCATGCTCACCGTAAATATCCACAAGCAAATGATAAGTTTCCGCTGCACTTTTCCTTGTGCAATAAAACTTCCCGCAAATGATGTTTATTTGGAATAAAACCCGACATTTTCAATGCGATAAAAATACTTGTTGTTTATGCTTCAACCGTAAAAAGATATAGCTATTTGAAGTCACAGAATTTGAGTGCCGCCATACCTCTTTAAGATA